TCTCTCTCTCTCTCTCTCTCTCTCTCTCTCTCTCTCTCTCTCTGTCTCCCTTTCTCTGCTCAAAAAAGTTCTTCAGGTTTTTTGCACAAACTTATGGATTTCATGGGGAAAAATGCATGGTTCGGCTGTGTGACTGAATTTATCCTGTGTTTTTTAAAATACAAAATACTGCAGCTTCAGCTTTAAATAACAGAATAACAGTGCTTTGTTCATTAGAGAACAACAGTAAAAAGAAATGTAACAATTTTTATATTAGCAAAATTTGAGGTTGATTTTAGATTATTTTTCCTCATACTGGCTCTCTCACATTCTAGGGCAATGTCCAATTATTTTGAAGCCATTTTGGCTACTTTCTATAATACTTCCTAATAAAAAGAAATAGTAAGCTCAGGTTGGCCACTGTCTGGTTACGGAGCATTATTCATTTATTCTGCAGCTTTTACCCCTTTTGTAAAATTCTACTCCTTCGCAGGAAACATATGGCACAACGATACTAGCAATATGTATTGAAGAAATGGTATTCATTTCAAGATTATCTCAAAATAATTATTGATAATTTAGCCCACAATTTTCCTATGTTTTATTCCTTTTCCATATTTTCTCCCCCTTATGTTAAGAAATAACATTACTTTCTTTGAGAATGAATATGGTTATCTTTCACTACAACTCTCCTTCTTGTATAAGCTATTTTGCCTGCCATGCAGGAAAGTGAGTGTGTAAGATCAATTAGACTCTCAGTGAATCTATCACTGTACTCCTCAAGCTGACAAATGAAGAAGAAGAAGAAAAGGAGGAGGAAGAGGAGAAGAGCAGGGAAACATAATAATCAGGATAATTTTGTGTTTCCACATGAAGGCCTGTTTAAAATTCTTTTTTATTTTACTTATTTCGTCATTTTCTAAGCCCACCCACTTGCCAGCAACTCTTTCTGCCATTAAAGCATGGCTTTCAGTTTGTGAAGGCAAACTTTTGTTGCTTCTCAGAATGGTTTTGTCAAGGCTTAATGTAATCACTCTATCTGAAAAAAGAATTCCTCACTTCACAGACAGAGGAAGAAAGCATTCATAGTTAAAAATAAAACATCTTCAGATGTAGCCACATGAAATAAGACTTTTATTAGGACAATTAATAACCATATGAGATATAAAACCTTTAATATTCTGTTGATTTCTATTTATAAATGACACAATTGGCTGTTTAGAAAGTGGTTTAATAATATGCACAGTGCACCTTGTGGTGTATAATCAATAATTCTTAATGAAAATATGTTGAATCTGTAGTTGCCAACTTCCTTTACTCTCCAGTCACCACCATCATGTATCCTAACAAAGATCAAACTTAAAAAATAACTTGCATGAAACAGACTGGCTTTTGGTCAGCTATCTACCATGTGGGTAACATGCCAGGTGCCACTCTGTACACATTCTGATATTATTCTAAGCAGATCTTATCCATTATAAAAGAGTGAAACTAAGGGGGCTTCCAAATGGACGGCTTCAGGCAAAAAGTATTGTATAGCTATTCCATATTTCTCTCTTTAAAGAATTTTCTATGGAAACTAAAAAAGAAAGGAGAAGTACAGAAAAGATTACTAACAGTTGTTTGAATACCCCTAATCTTCTGTGAATATGGCAGGGATATTCTATAGTAAAAGCCTTACCTAGAAGCACCCTATACTGGGGAAGAATTATTTTTATGTTTGTTTTTATTATTCAGAAAAGCATTTTTTTTCATATGAGAAAATTTATTCTACTTGCAATTATTTGCAGCTGCCATGTGAAGATCAGATTATACTTCTGAAAGGTTGTTGCATGGAGATCATGTCCCTCAGAGCAGCAGTGCGTTATGACCCAGAGAGTGAGACCTTAACACTAAATGGAGAAATGGCAGTAACAAGAGGGCAGTTGAAAAATGGGGGCCTTGGTGTAGTATCAGATGCCATTTTTGACTTGGGTATGTCGCTATCATCATTCAACCTTGATGACACGGAAGTTGCTCTTCTTCAGTCTGTACTGCTGATGTCTTCAGGTGAGCATGAACATTTTTTAAATATATTCAGTTATCATCCTTAGCTATTAAGGATTCTGTAAACCTTCTAGAAATGTTCACAGAAACTCTTTCAGAACATACTTAATAAAACTTATATAACACTGTTAAAGTATCATTTACAATTTAATGCTGATTCCTGCAGCATTCAGGGAGAGGTATGGCAGATCTTCCTTGATGAGGTTGGATGTCCCCACAGAAACCTTTGCTGCTTCAAAGGCAGTGTTCCATTGGGGAACAAAGGGCCCATTTTTCCCATTTCAGCCCAAAACTCTGTGATCCCTGGTGTAGTTAATTTTCCTTCCATTGGTTTCAATGAAAGAGGAAGGAAATGGAACCACAGGGAAACAACCATTCAGAAACTGCACTTCCTTCTTAGAACATAAAAAACAACTATTTGTTAAATCCACAATTAAAAAAAAAACTATTACACATGGTTTTATAAACTTGTGTAGATATCATTGGCAGTCTATAATTTACAATTCTTATCATAGCAAACTTCGTTTTAGGATTTTTTTTTTCTGTCGCCACCCAGTGTCCCTAAAACCTTATATCGCTGAATGTATTTTGAGATGCCTAGGTTCTTTAGTGACATTAAGTTGTGTTTGAGCACATGAGTTTAACTGTATGTGAAGCTTAAAACCAACGTATGTGAGATTACTTGTAGTGAGGCAAATTATCCATCATTTTACTACAATTTCTCTATCTTATATGTGGCTTGCTGCTTAGCAAAGTCCAAATTCCTGTCTGCTAAGGAATTATACCATACCATACCATATATGGACCATAGACAAGCATTGTGGCGTCATTGTTGCCTTTGAGTAGCACGTAAAAGAATTCCTGTACAAAGCTTAGTGTGGTTTCTGTCATAGCTATGATAGACCAAATAGGTGTTAAGAATTTACTGTAAAACAACACTGTGAATTTTCCACAGTAGTGACCAAGGATGCATAAGTAAAATATTGGTTTTGCTTTTTTTCTCTTCTTTCTATATTTGTATAGGTTTTTATTGATAGAATTGTAAGGGCTTTAAGTGTTGTTTAGGTCTCAATATCTATTGCAAATCCAGAAGTAAGTGTAGTTTGATGGTTAGGTCATCTTCAGAATCTTCTCAGCCCTGAAACTCTCGGGTGGTTTGAAGTCAGTCGCAGTCTCTCAGCCTTATTTTATCCTTTTATTCTTTTCATAGGGCTCTGAGATGAACCATGCATATTGCTCTGAGCTCCTTGAAAAAAAAGAGTGGAATAAAAATAGGAAAGTCAAGAAGGGGATGTAGTTCACAGATCAGTTTAAATGGGAAGAATAAAAGCTTAGCCATGACTTGAGAGGCTAGGAACAAAGGTTAACTCTGGAGTATCTACCCTTGCCCCCAGGAAAACTGCTGTTCCAGAAATGTAGATGCCATTGAAAAAATAGAAAAGCACTTGTCTTGCAAGGGACTTTATTTGGTTGTCAGCCAATAGTTATAACCTGTTGTTTTTGCAATGAATACTGAGCAAAAGAAAGAATCCATAAGGGAAAAGGAATGTTCTGAGAGCTGGCAGCTCTCAAAAAGTTGGAAGTAATAATGTAATGAAGTCTTCAAAGGCACTGGGCCAGGACAACTTTCAGCATGTTTATTTCTGTCTTGAGGTTCTCTCTCTCTCTCTCTCTCTCTCTCTCTCTCTCTCTCTCTCTCTCTCTCTCTCTCT